TGGGGATGGAGGAGGGTGGCCAGGGAGAGGTGAGAGGGGAATGAGAGGGAGCAAAAAAAGCATGAGGTAACTTTTGGGAGCAAGAGAAGTGTTCATTATCTTGACTGTGCTCATGGCTTCCCAAATGTTTATAAAAACTTTAATGGTACACTTCCAGTATGTATGTTTTATTTTATGTCAATTATACCTCAATAAAGTTTAAAACAAATAGTAAAAAAAAAAATGAATTAAATAGTCAAAAAAAAAAAATGAGCAAGACAGAAAACCAGAGCCTTGGGTTTGGCAACACAGAAGTCACTAGAGGCTTCTACCAGAGTGATTTAGGTGAGCAAGCAGACAGCCAGCCAGACCTACAGTGAGCAGAGTGACAGGAACTTCTGATTTTAGAATTACTGCAGATTATGTCTTGCCCAAAATGCTCACTGCAACAAAAGTACACAGAAACAAAGCATAACATTCCTTTAAATATATGCTCTTAAGCAAATGATTGCTGAATCCACACACAAAAAAGAGAAATTCCCAGGAAAAAAAGGGGAAGCTCAAAAAGAATGAATTATGGTAGTAGATAGAAGCCCAAATATACCAGTGATGACAGTAAATGCCCACTGGTTAAACTCTCTAGTTAAAAGTGACTGAAAGGGGTGCCTGGGTTTTAGTTAAGCATCTGCCTTAGGCTCAGGTCATGATCCTGGGGTCCTGGGGTCCCTGATCAGTCAGGATTCTGCTTCTTCCTTCTGCCCCTCCCTCTGCTCATGCTCTCTCTCTCTCACTCTCTTTTTCTCTCTCTCTCTCAAATAAATAAATAGAATCTTTAAAAATAATAAAAAATAAATAAAAGTGACTGAAATATTGGATTTTGAAAGCCCAGCTATATGTTGTTTATGAAAAATACACCTAACGGACATAGACTGAAAATAAAGGAATGGAAAAACCCAAAGAAAGCTGGTATAGGTCTATTAATATTAGAGAAGATAGCCTGGAAAGCAAAAACCTTCATTAGGGATAAAGAAGGTTACTATGTAATAATATAAAGAGCCACTCACCAGGAAGATGTACCATCATAAACTTGTTTATGCACCTACTAGCATAATGCTGAAATATGTAAATCAAAAGATGACAGAGTTAAGAGTAAATTGACAAACGTACCACCTTTGTGGTTATGTTAAATGTTAAAATCACCCTTCTCTTAATAGCAGATGAAAAACTAGTCAAGGGCGCCTGGGTGGCTCAGTTGGTTAAGCGACTGCTTTCGGCTCAGGTCATGATCCCGGAGTCCCGGGATCAAGTCCCACATCGGGCTCCCTGCTCGGCAGGGAGTCTGCTTCTCCCTCTAACCCTACCCCCTCTTGCGCTCTCTCTCTCTCTCTCAAATAAATAAATAAATAAAATCTTTAAAAAAAAAAAAGAAAAACTAGTCAAATTACTGAGGATTAATAGTATTAATGGGGATTTAGCAGTTAACAAGCTTGAGCTAATGAGCACTTATTAAACCCTGCATGAACTTATTAGAGAATACACATTCTTTTCAAACACCAAGGGAACATTTATGAAATAAAACATGTATTATGCCATAAAGCCAGTTTCAACTAATTTCAAAGAATCAATATCATATAGACCACATTCTCTGACTATAATTAAATAGAAATTAGAAACAAAAAGATAACTAAAACATACATTTAAATAAATCATGGGTCAAAGAACAAATCATAATGGCAATTAAAAAAAAATACAGGAGAAAGTCCAAACACCTTGCCCTAGTGTTTGAAGCTTCATATAGTTACAGAAACAAGACAATTAGGAAGTGCCAGGACTGTGACAAAATAAAGAGAGCTTTTTTGCTTAAAAACATTCAAATTTGACCTACTGCTCACTCCCACAAAAAAACTTCAACAAAAAGAATACTTTTGCTTCTAGATTTAACCCCTAGGCCATCCCTTCAGGGTAACCCTGGAATTATATGGAATCATGCTGAGAAATTATTCAAGGATTACTCCTGAGTCAAGTCAGGAAGAAAAACATTTTTTTTAAAGATTTATGTATTTATTTATTTGACACAGAGAGAGAGAGAGCACAAGCAGGGGGAGCAGCAGAGGGAGAGGGAGAAGCAGGCTCCACACTGAGCAGGGAGCCCGATGCGGGGCTCAATCCCAGGACCCAAGCATCATGACCCAAGCCAAAGGCAGACACTTAACTGACTGAGCCACCCAGGTGCCCCGAAAATATTCTTTCTTCATAAGATTTAGAACCTAATGTTCAACCAAATCAAATGCTTTTTTAGAAAGACATCTGCTCTTCATATTTTAGCATTTGTACACTTTAAGGAATTTTAAACCTGCTATTCCAGTGCAGAGACTACACCAATTTTGTAATCTAGAAAAGTTATTTTATTTTTTTCCCCCCAAAGTCTTTTATTTTCATTAAGACAGAGTGAGACCTCTTGCCAAAATAACCTGGAACTCAAAGAAAGTCGTGACCGTCAGCAAGACCCAGCCAGGGAGTCCAGTTTCTTGGCGGCAGCCCATCCCCTTACTGGCATCTGTTTAAAGTGTCATTAGGAAGTGAATCTGCGGTGTTCTGGGAGGTGATGCTGAGCAGGGGTAGGGGCAGGAATGAGACCTCTGGCATTTGGGGATAGTCCTTGTCCAGATCATTGGTCATTTGGAACTTGGGACTTTGGGATTCTCTGGGCCTGAAGCTTGTGAGTATGGATGCCATTCTGAGTCTGTAAAGTGATGTCGAGCTATGACAGAGCTGAAAGGACCGCTCACATGCTCTATCGTCAGGAAGTCAGTTCCTGATTTAATAACACAGTTGTTGAGCTGAGGGAATGGAGGTGCTCCAAAGGAGCACTCACTGAGCAGGAGCATGCTGCAGGCCTGTCAGCAGGCTTCTGTGCTTGCCAAGGCATGTTCACATCCACATCTTGCTCATCCTGGCAGGGCTGTGGGCGGTGCCCGGCACCTGGGAGTTGGGTGACTGCACCCCTGTGTTCCTGTTGGGGACCCTGGGAAACCCTGACTTCCTAATTGGATATCTCTGCGGGATACCCCACGGCAAGCACACAGCCCTCCTTTCCAAATGGTTTTATTTTTAATGTTTCCTTTCCTATTCCCTACTCCTTCCTGCTTTGTAACCAATTTGAAACTATAGTATCATTATTCCTGATGTTCTGAATCTACCTTGTGCCTTAAAAGCTTCACAGTGCATGCTTTGGTGTTTGTTTTTCTCCTCTCAGTTAAGGAGTAATTAAAAGCATTTACTTTGGGAAATCTCTTACAACAAGTCCTGAGAAGCCATGCTTAGGAAGGGCTGGATGAATAAATGGCTTCTGTACAAAACTTGTGTGGAGGAGCCTTAGCTACAAGTGGAGCCAAGTGCTCGCTCCACTCCTGATCTAAGGAGTCTCTGGGGAGTTTGTGATTGAAAGCTGGGTGCAGGGGCGCCTGGGTGGCTCAGTCGTTAAGCGTCTGCCTTCAGCTCAGGTCATGATCCCAGGGTCCTGGGATCGAGCCTTGTGTCGGGCTTCCTGCTCAGCGGGGAGTCTGCTTCTCCCTCTCCCTCTGCTTGTGCTTGCTCTTTCTCTCTCAAATAAATAAATAAAATCTTTTAAAAAAAAAAAAAGAAAGTTGGGTGCAGTGTTATCACCATGTTCAAGGCATTGTCTAATACATGCTACAACCATGATACATGGATGAAACTCTAAAATATTATGCTGAAAGAAAGAAGTCAGACCCTGAAGAGTACATACTGCATATTCTGGTCATTTGAAATTCCAGAAAAGGCAGATCTAGACTGTGTGTCAGAAACCAGGTCATTGGGGAGTAAGGGGAAGGAGAGAGGTGGAGAATGACTGGGAAGGAGCAGGGGCTTTTTTTTGAGAAATAGAAATACTCTAGATTTTTATTTTTTTAATTTATTTTTACATGGGTGTCCACATTTGTCAAAATGCATAGATCATCCACTTTAAAACAGATGCATATAAATTTGTATCTCAACAAGGTGCCTGGTGGCTCATTCAGTTGAGCATCTGGCTGTTGATTTCAGCTCAGGTCATGGTCTCAGGGTTGTGGGATTGAGCCCCAAATTGGGCTCTGTGCTCAGTGGGGAGTCTGCTAGGACTCCCCCTTTCCCTCTGGCCCTCCCCCCGTTCTCTCTCTCTCTCAAATAAATAATTTAAAAAAAAGAAATGCGTAATGACAGGGGCGCCTGGGTGGCTCAGTCGTTAAGCATCTGCCTTCGGCTCAGGTCATGGTCCCGGGGTCCTGGGATCGAGCCCCACATCGGGCTCCCTGCTCAGCAGAAAGCCTGCTTCTCCCTCTCCCACTCCCCCTGCTTGTGTTCCCTCTCTCGCTGTGTCTCTCTATGTCAAATAAATAAATAAAATCTTTAAAAAAAAAAGAAATGTGTAATGACAAAAGGGAAATTTGCAAATACTTGCACAGTTCTGTATTTTTCTTCCTATTCTCAAAACTGTCTTGGGCATTTATAATATTGCAAAATGTGTTTGAAATCCAGTAACTCTTGTTTTTTTTTTTTTTTTTACTCCAGCAAACTTAACTCAGAAAACACTTCGAAGTATAAGATTGTTGACTTTAATCCAGTTAGTTACATAAGAACAAACAACACACAGCAAACATATATTAATTTGTCTTTCCTGCTGAAAACATTAGGCAGAGATAAGCTTTTCGCCGTGACTCACACAACATACTTATACTTATTTCAACTGCACATGCTCATTTGTCCTATTCTGATTTTTTAATAGGGTTGCTTTTAACTATGTGCTACATTTTCTCCCTACTGTTTGAGTTTGGCTTCATTGCTTGTTTCCTGTGTTAATAAAAGGTAGCTCTTCATATTTACCTCTTTTTTCCTAGGTGCACAAGGGGAACTAATGAGATGTTTCTGAACCTTCCTCCTTCTGACAAAGGCTGGTGCAGTGTAAACTTGTGTGCAAATATCCTGAGGCCTTGTCTCTGACTCCTGTCTTCTTGCCTTTCCAGACTCCGGAGCCAGGTGCAGACCTGCCAGGTGAGGACAAGGTTGAAGATAAGCAGCTCCCCACTTTTCCTGCAGAGCCAGAGGAACAGGGATGGAGCCAGGAAACAGACCACAATGATTTTGAGACACTGTCCCACCAGAGCGAAAGTCATTCAGACACAAAAACCGACCCCTTCGAAAGTGCTTCCGACACAGAGTCTCTGCCTGGTGACCTCACGGGGGGGATCTGCCTTCCTCTAAGTGGTACCTCTGTGGACAGGGAAGGACACTGGGGATGCCCTGACATCCCAGCAACCAGACCTCCTCGCAAGCAGCTTTCAACTGGTGTCCCTGGGCTTGACCCAAAGGAGGACCTAGATTTGTCCTTTGACCTCAGGGAAGAGTCTTACAAAAGTGGGTTTCAAGCCTTTGCTGCAGTTGCTGAAGAAGAGAAGACAGCACACCTCCAGGACAATGGCGTGGCCAGCCTAGAGCTAGAGTCTTTGCTGGCAGGGTCTCCTCACCACACAGAGGGCTGCTCACAGGTTACCACAGGCAGCTACAGTCTCCAGCCAGCAAAGGTGGTAACTGCACAAGACCTCAGGGGATTGTCTATTTTTTCTCTTCAGAAATCCAGGTCTGAGAGTTGTCTGGGCATTCCAGTGGTCTGGCCCTTTCTTCTCTGGTGCTGTGAACTGGGCCAGAGCTGGCCACATATCCACAATAGGGCCAGGGGCCCAGGGCTGCCTTACAGAGGTCCACTGCACAACACAGCCCCTCTGGGAGCCAGGACAAAGAAGGGAAGTACTCTAGGCCCCGAAGAGAACACAGACTTGCTCTGTGCCCAGCCCTGCCCTGATGCCCCTTGCCAGCTTCCTTTGGGAACATGCCGCCTTGCATATGCCAAGCTTCACCATAGTGCCCCAGAAAATATTAATGACAAGGACAGGACATCCCCAGAGCACTGCTCTCAGCACCTGAGGACACTGACTAGGGCCCATTCCATAGCCGTGTTTCCCTTAAGGTTCCCTAAGAATCCTCCAGGACAGAACTTTGTGAAATTTGGGACTCATTTGAGGAAAGGGACCGAAACAGAACAAGATCCAAGAACACAAAATTCTCTTTGCTCTGTTCCCACCCAATTGTCTCCTTTGCCTTCTGCTTCCCAAAGGAGGGCCCCTTACTTGCAGGACCAGTATAAACCCAGGGCTCCTAGCTGGAAGAGGGCCTTTCAGGACACACCCTGTGAATATCTCTGGCTGGGACAGGATTCTAGATCCTGCCCAGTCTCTTCATGCCTTACTGCAAAGTCTGTGAGCCTTGACACAGAGGAAGTGCCAGTGCTCACAGAGTGCAGGTCGGAACACAGCCCAGAAAGCCTGCGAGAGGAACCCCAAGGCACTGGCCCTGCACCAAACGATGCTGATGTGAGTGACAGACAAAAGCACCTTCAGGACATTTCTGTTGAGGCAGGAAACCAAACCAGTAATTACAGATCAAAGTACATTCTCAGTGAGAAAAGAAAGCCACCTGCTAGGGCCAAGTTCCCACATCATTCCAGCAATAGCGGGTCACAGGTGAGGAACAGAGACTGGATGGGTTGCTGCGAAGTGAGTGATTGTTCAGTCACGCCAGAGACCACCCTGAAAGCAAGTGCAAAGGAAGTGGAAGACGTGATGGTTCTAGACCCCAACTGCACCAAAAGTGCCTTGCAGGAATTTTCGGAAACCACAGCAGCCGCCGTGTCTCATTGCAGCGGTGGGGGTGAGTGTGACCAGGGGCTGGAGGGTGCTGCGCAGCCCTCTCCTGAGGGCCTGAAGCTAGAGCCCAAAGTAGACACCTCTAGGGGCAGGTGTACACTCATCATTATAGCTGTTGAGCAGAAAGGTCTTCAGGCCACCAGGAGGAAAGCAGGTGCCCTTCCAGAAACACAGTCCGAATTTCTGGACAAAAGACCACCATCTCCCTGCGGTGCTGGAGCGACCCCCTGTGACTCTCCCACGGCTGGGAAACCACAAACTTGTGGCATTGAGTGTGAGCTGCCCGCAGCCAGCGGACTGGGAGGTGATGATGGGACTCCTCGGCAGGGTGCCCAAGCCACAGAACTTGCGGTAGTTCTGCTTCCCCAAGCTGCCTCCCAAGAGAGGCCCCTGGGCAAAGACACTTGTTCCCAGGAGCCCGCCCTGGGCAGGCTGAGCACAGGCGATGCTGCAGAAACAAACCCGCCTGGGGCCGACACGGCGGAGCACGCTGCTAGGGAGCCCGGCCCTGGCCCTGAAGACACACGCAAGGCCCATGGCCTTCGCCCCGCGGGGAGCCGAGGAGCAGGGGAAGCGGAGGCGGTGGCGAAGGGCTCTGGCACCCCGGCCTCTGCCAGCGTCCAAGCTCTCCCACCGCCCGGCCCGCCCCGCCCCCCCTGCAAGGCTGCACGGGAACCTGGGAAGCGCCTCACGTTTCCCAAGGTGACCTCGCTCAGGAAAAGCAGGCCCTCGGTTGCCGAGACCCCAGGAGCGGACGCCGGTGCGCAGGGCCCCGGGCATCTGCAGCCCGCCGGCCCCGCGGCAGCCAGCGCCCCTGCCGGGACGGCGGGTTCTTCGGGCCTCGAGGAGCTGCGTGCGGCCAGTGGGGGTCCCGCGGCCTGCTGGCAGAACGTGGTCGGCGGGGACGCGCCTCCTACACACCCAGTGGGCACAGGCGCCTCTCGGAAGGCCATCCCCCAGGGCGCAGGGGGCGGAGCTGCAGGGCTGAGAGAAGGGGACGCTGTGGAGACACCAGGGGACCTGGGTGGCAGAACACTGTCCTCAGAGTGCTGTGATGCCAAGAGCCTAAAAACTCCAGAGAAAAGGCTCAGGGCAAGGTTGGCCTTAGCTCAAAAGACCTTTGCAAATTTTTTTGAGTCAAAAGTTTTAGAAAAAGAGAACACTGAGGAATGTTCTCCAGGTTCTCTCAAGGGCCGGAAGGAGAAGAGCAGGCCGCGGCAGAGTTCCTGGCGTGCATTTCTGAAAAGCAAAGATGCCGAAGGCCCCAAAAGGCCCACCTTAGTAAGTCTGGTTCCAGGACAGGAAACCTTGAATCCCCTCAGACCTTCTCCACCAAGGACCAACAGTCACTGTGAGGAGCAAGTAGAAGACAAGGAAAGCTGTGTTTTTGGAGATCATTGGTCACCTCCACATTCCCCCACACCTTTGTCACCCAGCAATTTGGTCTCTCCAGATAACAGGAGAAAAAGTGAGCCAACCATCAAATGCACAAGCCCCCAGGAAAGTGGTAGGTACCTAACTTCAGGTATCTTTCCTGAAAAGTCCTGGCTGATGTCACCCACCAGCCCTCGTGCCCAGCAGGCTGGGATCAGCTGCACCCTTCCCTCCAGCTCTGCCTGTTGCTTGGCATATGGAAGCCAAGGTATGCCCTGCAAACCCATGAGTCCCAAGCCCCAGAGCCCCAGGCCTGGTGTTCATCGGGCAGATTTCCACTACCCTGGCAGGAGCAGTGCCATCTCCATGGTTTCTCTTGGAAGCTACATTGATGTGGATAACAGCTCAGAGGCTTCTGAAAGGCCCAAGACCCCCAAGGCCCGGGCAAGCCTCCTGCTTTCTCTGCAGACACTAGACCAGGATGACCAGAAGGAAGAGAGTGGGAAAAGAGGCTGGCATCACCATGGCCTGAGCATAACACCCTCGCTCAGGGACCTTCCTGGGAGTGAGGTGAGTTACCTGTGACTCCCACCAACCTGTTTATTTACTTCTAAATGCAGGAGGAGGGAACCAGATGGGAAATTTTCCCAAGTGAGGAGAGAGGTGAAGCAGGAAGGCCAATTTGCCTTCCATGGAGACTGTACCATTTAACACTACTGGAGTGCCCCGACCCTAATCAACATAGTGTGTGACCAACTTCTGGGAATTTGCCAAACTAACAAGTAGGAATTGGCATTTCACTATAATTTTGTGCTTCTGGGTTTCTTTTTTTTTTTCTTGTATAAATCTAGCTATTTGAATTCCTTTTTCTATCAATTGCCTATTCTTCTATCAGGTGGTTGATGCAGGCTTTTTCCTGTCAGCCTTCATCCTTCCCCACTGTGAAATTTTTTAAAAAAAGAAATTTCCCCGTGTTGTCTTCTAATATTTTTAATGTGTTTATTTATTTATTTTTTTTACTTTAGATCTGATACCGTTGAGTTTATTTCAGTATAACGAGATAGTTGTTGGTGCTTCTGAATTTCCTAGTAAAAAAAAAAGTGGTCTCTCCCCCAAAGCCAAGACCCAGAACAGGGTAACATGGTGTTGGGTCAGGCACAAGAAAGGGTTTACAAGCTTGGGTTTTCTCATGAGTCACTGCCCTCAGAAGGAGGTAGCTTTTTTGAAATTCCAGAAAGAATACCCTTGGGACTGTGAAAGAAAACCTCCCTATGCCCTATCCACCCCTGTGTGGTGGGGTGGATCTACGTGCCCCCGCCCCTCCGCTTCTTTAGACAAATGGTATCGTGTCTCCCCTGGGCCCAGCACTGTGCTGGTGTGAAAGGACCTCAAGGTCAGCGTCAGTGTCCAGGCAGAGCCGGTCAGGGCAGGCCCAGCTGCACACTGTCCCCTGGTTCCTGGGGAGCCCCACCCCTGAGCGAGCCATCTGTTTGGAGCCAGTCGTGCTGGGCTGGTCTGTGCTCTCCCTCCTCCCCCTGTCAGCCATCCAGGGACTCCTATGGGTCTCCGGTCTCCGAACACATGCATTTTCCCTGTGTTCATGTATTTGCTGCTCTCTTGTCTTCCTACATGTTCTGATGTGCCCGCACACTAGGCCTTCCCTAGTGGGGAAGATAGGAACTAACATCGGTCACCCGCTTCATGCCTGGCCCTTTCCTGGGCACCTTCCAGGTATTTGCCTGAGGCCCACCACATCTGCTTCTTCTCTTGTACAACACCTGGACTGCCTGTGTGGGTCTCAACAAGCAGTGATGTGATTGCAAAGTGCCCAGGAAAGGGCTGGGCGTTAAGTGGGCGTTGGATAGATGTTACCTCCTGTTCCTCTTTGTCTTTCACATCTTACCCGAGGAAAGGGAAGGCCTCGTGTGCCTACACATCAGAACACGTAGGAAGGGGTGCCTGGCTTCGGCTCAGGTTACGATCCCAGAAGTCCTGGGATCGAGCTCCGCATCAGGCTCCCTGCTCAGCGCAGAGTCTGCTTCTCCCTCTGACCTTCCCCCTGCTTGTGCTCTCTCTGTCTCTCTCTCTCAAATAAATAAATAAAATCTTAAAAAAAAAAAAAAAAAGATGGAGGAAGACAAGAGAGCAGCAGATACGTGCGTGAACACAGGAAGGGGAAGGGGAGAAAATCCTTCAAGTTTGCTCTCTAGCTGAAGCCCAGAGCAATCAGGGACCAAGAAACTCAACTTGGAGATACGAAGGCTCCCTCTTGTGGCTGCTCCCGGGAGAGCAGGCAGTGATTGGAGGAGTAATTAGCAAGGAATTCAGTCAGCATTCCCATTTATTCCTTCCACAGTGCATTTAAGGAACAAGGGTTCTTTTATTCCATACCCTAAGACAACCATTCTTAATATTTTGTTAGATTTTCTTCCAGCTTCTTTTTTGCAAGTAAGTTTTTATATATTTATCATGTTTGTGATAATGCCATCTATAGAGGCTTTAATTTTCTATGATTTTGCGTCCTGCACTTTGTTTCTTTACAGCTCTTTTAAGTTGAGAAATTCAAAGGTCATACAGAAAAGCATAATGCACATACTATATACACATACGTATAGATAATATTTTTTTAAATGCAAGTGATTTTATTAGGTATAAACATTCTTGGTGTAGGACTAAAGGCATCACTTTAAATATCTTGAATATTAGATAATTGATTAACAGAATAGACTATGATTGGAATGGTAATAGTGAATTTTCACATATTATAGCTTTAGATTATGCATTTTTTTTTTTGCTTATCATTTGGAAAGAAAATTTTTTTATTTAAATTCAATTAGCCAACATATAGTATATCATTAGTTTTTTTTTTTAATTTTATTATGTTCTGTTAGTCACCATACAGTACATCATTAGTTTTTGATGTACTGTTCCATGATTCATTGTTTGCATATAACACAGCCACTTTGGAAAACAGTGTGGAGGTGCCTCAAAAAATTAAAAATAGAGCTACCCTATGACCCAGCAGTTGCACTCCTGGGTATTTACCCCAAAGACACAGATGTAGTGAAAAGAAGGGCCACATGCACCCCAGTGTTCATAGCAGCAATGTCCACAATAGCCAAACTGTGGAAAGAGCCCAGATGCCCTTCAACAAATGAATAGGTAAAGAAGATGTGGTTCATATATACAATGGAATATTACTCAGCCATCAGAAAGGATGAATACCCAACTTTTGCATCAACATGGATGGGACTGGAGGAGATTATGCTAAGTGAAATAAGTCAAGCAGAGAAAGTCAATTATCATATGGTTTCACTAATTTGTGGAACATAAGG